GTACCGGGCGGGACGGAAACCCCAACAAGCCGGCCCTCATGTTACATCTACAGTGGCCTACACCTATGTATATATGCATATACCTATCTTACACTTACCTAACTGCCTATAAACCTATTATTTCCTGGCATCTGTCTCAATAACCCATCAAAGTTTTTCTTTTTAATTTCAACAATGAATTTTGTCATTTTGGCCTAATCATCTTACTTGGTCTCCTTGAATCATGTGACCTATGGGGCATATTTATGCCTATAGCCACCCCTCTACTTCAATACCCAGAAATCATTAAACACACCCTCTCTTGGGACCTTAGTAACTGAGACTGTACAAAGGTCAAACATAAATAGTATTCGGGTTTTGGGATCTATGGTCCATCACTATTTCCAAGTTTGATGAGGGGGACACCACAGAGACTGACTTTCGACTTCCTCCAGTACCGATTCTTCATGGGCTGCCTCCTCTTTCTATCCCCAATCTGGCTAAGAGTAAACATCTTCAAGAATTTGACAATCCTTTCCTTCTTCCTCCTCCTGGTCTTGACATCTTCATTCATCTTTATCAAGCACACACTATGTACCTACGCACAATGCTAAGCAATATAAGCACACTTATTTCATCTGAATCATTCAATAGTTCAATCTAGTTATATTTATTTTACAGATAAGCAAACAGAGGCTTCGAGAAGATAATAAAATACCTCGTGCTCTTAGTTAGGGTGACATTTGTACGCCTTTCCCTTTTACCACGACACACAATCCTGGGATGTGGTAGAGAGTGTTTTCCAGATTTTCTGGCTGACTTCCACACCTAATGATTAGCATAAGTGTGACTTCTGAGGCCTCTCTCATCTCAGTTTCTAATAAATCCTTCGCTCTTTTTTGTGAATGACACCTGCGTCTTCCAGTTTTCTTTGTTATGGAATCTGGGGCTTCAAACCATCTTGAGTATTCTTGTTTCCTAATTGTTCGAATGCATCACTTACTGTATCCACACAACTATTTCCACATGGTCGTTTGCACAGTGTTCAGAGCCTGGCCCTAATACCACGCCCTAATGACCCCATCAGCATGGTTAACAGAGACCCCCTCGGTACTCTGCACTCACTCAGAGATTGCTTTGTAAGACAGATGGACCTTTTAACAATTCTACAGAGGATATAATACATTATTTGTCATTTCTGGTGATCTGTATATTTATTGTCTTCTTTTTTTTTTTTTTTTTTTTTTTTGCTCCTTGGATTCATAAGAAAGTAAAGCCACGAGTCCTGTATTTCCCTTACTCTTTGAAATAGAGGAACTTTTCGAAACTTAGACACTTCAAGGCAAATATTATTAAAAACAACTAATTCCAGTGGGGGTGTAAATAAAAGGACCTTTATCAGATAATGAAAATGTGTTGCGACAATACAACAGCTAGAAATAAGTTTACGATGAATATAACCTAGAAAGTGGGTTAGATGGTTGTGGAAATGAAGACCAGAAGACTAAACTCACTGAGAAGTTGTCATATTTCAAGGACAATGGAACAAACAGATGGACTTGAGAGTCGAGGACGAAATAAAAGTTAATATCATAGTTAAGCTTGAGAGAAGGGAGCAATGAAAAGAAGCAGGCTGCGAAGAACACAGGGTGGAAGAGCGTGGGGAACACGGCTTAGAGTCAGCACTGGGGAAACCAGGACTGTCAATCATGCAGGTCTGTTTTCTTCAAAGGAAGTGGCTGACGCCTGATCACCCAGAAGCCTTCAGTGAATGTTGTCTGACAGCTTGGTGATCTTTTTGTTCTTCTATGGAGCCAGCCTTCTGGAATCCCCCCAAAATCTTGAGCATTGGAATCCCCCAAATCCTGAGCATTGGAATCCCCCCAAAATCCTGAGCATTGTTTAGACCTTAATCATGAGCTTTGTCTCTTGGTGACTAGAACCCATCCTTGTGAAAGGGGCTCCGTGTGCTCTGCGTTCTCCACCAACAGAATTTGACCTGACACTTACTGCAAATTCTTCCTGTCTAGGCTCTGGCCCTGAGATCTGTGTTTTCAGCCCAAAGGACTCCTTCTTATTGTAAAGGTCACACAGGTGCTGTGGTGCTTTGCACAGGGACTTTCTATGTAGTTGTACCTAAGGCTTTGTTATGAGAATTATTACATGGAGATTTTTTTTCCTCCCCAAAGTTTGACCGTGTTTAAATGTGTAAGAGAATTAAACCACGGGATCAGACTCTCTAGAAGTTTTGGTCCAATCTGATCGGTCAAGTCCAGATGTACCAAGTTTTCAACCTCACCTCTTCATATTTTGCTTCCTTGCCAGCAGTGATACCTGCAGGGACCCTACAACAGATGAAGGTACCCTCTGGGAAGAGAAATCAGTGGTAACCCTTGGCAGGGAGACAACATCTGAAGAGATAGCCAAGATGATGTTTGATAACTTCCTACATATATAGAATGTACTTTGGTCAAATCCATCCCTATCCCTCTTCCAGTTTCCACACTACCCCCCATTACAATTCCCTCCTAATTTCATTTGGTCCTGTTTTAGAATCACGGAGTTCACCTAGTGTTGCCAGGATGTGCATGCATAAACAGCCACCTACTGCAGCATGGGTAACATCAACCTTGGAGATGTCTGACACTCCCTCTTCCAGGAGCCACCAGCTGCCAAGAGCACCGCCAGTGCCAGGTGGAGCTTAGTGACTGCCTCCCCTATGCATGCTGGGATTTTTATCTGGCTTGATCTGCACGGTCCTTGCGCATGCAGTCACAGCTGCTTTTGACATGCTCAAACTAGTTTAAGCATGTGATGCTTAGCAGTGATGTGAGCTCTTTTGTTACCGTCTCCAGAGTCACAGCTGACCCAGCAGGGGCTGACTCCTGACTCTTGGGGCTGAAATAAAGTGAGAGACAGTATCACAAATTCTATAGAAGGTTGCCCCAAGGACATTCTTCTATGCATCTAGCAGCAATTGGCTCGTGCCCAGTGGGATGAT